TTGAACTTGAACTTGAGTTATAATCCTTTGCAGAAATGGTGTACAAGTAAATTGCACAGGTAAATCAACTTCTGATAACTACAATCAGATAATCAATAACTGCTAATAATTGCAAAATAGAATTAATATTTAGAGTTCCGATCCCTAGCTGTTAAATGGGTTATGTATAAAACAGCAGCACATTTTGGAGAATTATCATATTTCGCTCTGTACTTGGAAACATCAACTTCTTTACCCAGTGAAATTTGTGTGAATTCTCTTATAATTATTGTTCAGTTTGATATTATTATCTGTTATTGTGTGCTTTGATATATAGATATTAGTTAAACTTGTATTTTCAGATTTGTGTGAATTCTCTTATAACTATTGTCACGGCGACTGCTAACATTTTACACTGCCAAATCATCTCTCTACCGTCCTTCCGCAAACAGACTCCTCCCACTACCAAAGACCTTGACCGACATCACCTTGAATGAAAGATGGACAGAAACATCTACAGGCGATTCATTTCTCCTTTTCGACGACGGTGAACAGAACAACAGAATGATCGCATTCGCTGCATCAGAGAACCTGGCCGAACTTGCAGCCTCCGACGTAACCTTCAGTGACGGCACCTTCTACACCTGTCCTACTATGTTTCACCAGATTTACAGCATCCACGTACAGATTGAAGGCATCATGACCCCAGCTATTTATGCACTACTTCCCAGAAAGATCCAGGCTATCTACAACCGTTTCTTCACGCTACTACAGGATCACATGGAAAACTTACAGATTCCATTCCGACCAACAACAGCCTTCGTCGATTTTGAGGTAGCCGCACACAACGCCATCCGCAGTGTCGTCCCTGGTATCAACATAAAAGGCTGTTTTTTCCATTACACTCAATGTATTTGGCGAAAGGCCCAGTCAACCGGACTCCAGACACTGTACCTTGAGAACGACGACGTCAAACTACTTGTCCGCCAAGCTGCTGTTCTTCCACTCATCCCCTTAGCCCGCATAGAAGACGTCTGGTTCCAAACCCTTGAAGATGCTGATGATGCTGATATACCACATCCCATGCTGCTTTTCATAGAGTACGTCACAGAGCAATGGGTAGAAGGAGACCGACCAACCTGGAACCACTTCTCAATAGAAGGACCC